TTTTTGTTTGTTTTTTTAATTCTTTATTTTTGTGGGTATGCAAGTATTAAATTCGTTTTACAACATGTGCATAAAGGATAACATGTATTAAATACATTCCAGATAATCAGCATACAACATATACAATATTGCACAGCTGCTATGCCACCCGGTTTTTATAGGGTGATCTCTGCTTTACTCCCTCGTGCTAGAAACAGTGGAAACATTGGAAACATGTAGTATCTTGGAGGGGGCCAGTAAATAGGGTTATGTGCCCTGCTCAGAGGCATTGGGGCTGTAGACTTAGCCTTGGCGCGTGTGTGGGAGGTGCGGGTTTGTCGGCCGTTGGCCTGTCAATGGTTTGTTGCGGGCCCCAGCGTATCATGCTGGATGTGTGGTATATTGTTACTCCTTTAGTCGGGAGCCTATGGGTACCCTGCTTGAGGGGGGGGGGGGTTAGACCTGCTTAGCCAACATCGCTGGGTATCTCCTTGCAGAGCCAGAATCATTAGTGTGTCTGGCACCCTGAGACATTTAGAAACTGAGAACTGGAAATGTGTAAAAACAACAACTAAACTTAATTAAACTTAATAATCCACATTGCCTATAAAATGAGAGTGAAGTCCCGGCAAGCGTGGTTTACATGCAGTGTCCCGTGTATAGTCCCGTATCAGGGCACCTGTGACAGGTTGAAGGTGGACTTGCGTTTACAATCGCTTGTCTTGTGTTAGTGAGTCTGTTGCCCTCAGCGTTGCTTCTCTGGGTACAAATGGGGTTATTTCATCTACGTTCCATGCTGGGCTGGATCCTGTTGCTGCGGCCGGTAGCAGGAGTCCCAGGGACTGGAGAAACATGGATGCTTCAGATCTGTGTGTCAGGTGGACCGTCTTGCCAGCGTGTTCCGTTGTTAAGCGGTGGGGTCCCCATTTATAGGGGATAGCATGTTCCCTCAGCAGCGTGGTGATGTGGTGGAGGGATCTGCGCCAGGTAAGAGTATGCCGTGACAGGTCTCTATAGAAAGTCAGGCTTTCTCCCTCAAATGTGACCGTGGGAGAGCCTCTCGTAGCTCCCATGAGGGCCCCCGATCAGAATCAGCACATCCCTTGGTGCCTCCTGGGGAGCCTTAGGTGCTTTGGGGATGCGAAAGCAGGAGTCAATCCCTGTTTGCTTTGCTTGCTTGGGGATCAATAAGGTTGCTAGTAGCATCCTGCAATAGTGTGGCAGCTCCTGGTTCACGACCGATTCGGGCACTCCCGTGATCCGTAGGTTTCTAGCTTTAGTTTTGTCCTCCATTCCCGCCAACTGTGCTGTCAGCTTTGCACATTGCTTTTGTAAGAGTCCCAGAGCTGTGTCTGCAGCCGCCTGTGCCATCCTTGTATTCCCGAGGGACTCCTCAATGGAGACCACGCGGCCTGTGAGCGTGGAGATTTCCCCATGGACCAGCGCCATATCAGCGACGAACATCGCCTTGATGTTCAGCGTTAGTGCTTTTATATCAGCTTTTGTGGCGGGTGCCACGTTGCCTAGATCTTTAGGCTGCTGAAATGTGGTGTGTACCTTGTTGTTGACAGGAAATGAGTCAGAGACGCTGTCTTCGTCTGAAGATTGTGGAGTATAGGCCTCCATCGGCGCCATCTTGCCGGGTTCTTGCCTCTGAGACGGGCGCATAAAAGTGCTGATATCTTTTGACCCCGAGCCAGGATCTGCTCTACCCTTCTTTGTTTTTTTCCCCATAGTGTAGGTCACTCTGTGGATCAGATTGTCGGGTCCCAGAGGCTAATTTTGTAGCGGTATTGTCCTTTCTTTCGGATCTCACGTTAGGAGCTGTCGTGAAGTGCAACTTGCTCTTTCAGGCGCTGGCTCCGCCCCCCGGCCATGGTTTTAGTACTCACTACAAACCAAAGAACATGCAAAAGGCTTGCACTGTACTGTCTGGGGACAGTTCCGAAACCAAACTGGGACTATGGGACAGGACGCTAAAATAGAAACTTTATTTCCAAAATGTGGTCTTGATCTTGAGACAAAATAGTCTGCAGATTCTGCTTAAGCACATGCTTAACATTTTGTTTTAATTCCACAGGCTTGTTTAAAATTATTTTTACTTTTTTCTAAAATTCCATTTTATTTAACATGTATTTCCCAAAAGCCAGTGGAAACATTACACACCATATTTCTCTATTAACCAGTATTATTCTGTATTAATTTTTTAGAATATATGGCCATTAATAAGTTCATATTTTATTTTGTTCATCTGTTTTCTTCTTTGTGTATCTTAGAGTTCTAGTTTTACAAGTTTGTCACGGTACATTTTTATAGAAGAATCAAAAAACACTCCTAGAAGGCATTATTAGGAAACTCAAGTATTGATTTCCATTAGTCTGTATAATGGCAAGAACAATATGTAGGGCTCTTTACTAAAGAAGGAATTGTCAGGAAATGCCCTGGGCATTGGAAATTGTAGGACAAAAAAGGCTTATCTAAAAAAAATAGATGTGAATGAGCTTTTTTATAATTCAGCTATTTTGACCAAGAAAATTGCAATTCCTTTGTTATTTTCTCACATTTCCAGTTTTGTAAATAGCTCTTATAGATCTTCATTAAATGTTTAATACAAGATATATAAATCAGGCACCAATGCCTTGATTTAATATTTTTGGATAAACCTTTAAACTTTTAAAATGATTTAATATATTAAAAAAGATTGTAATTTTTTTAGATATATATAATTTACAAAAATATATTTTAACGTTTATCCAAATATATAAAAAATTTAAAAAGCGTATCCAACAGTATTAAATTGGAGTCCTTATTAGATTACTGAAATGTCCCCCAAAAATAAAGTAGCTATATATGTCATTCTACGTCTATATATCCAAAGAATATATAACATTTTATATGGATCATTTCACAACTAACAGACCATGTCTAGCTTATGTACAGATGAAAGGATGGGTTCCCTAAAGGGAGTGAATAGAGATAAATGAATTCTGAGAAACAGTGGGAGAGATTCAATGTGCAATTCATTAAACACACTATACTACAGTTCTATATTACATGAGTTCATCCATAGACTTTTCTATATTCTTTATTTATAGCATAGGCAGGATGTGCATTGGTTTCTTATTTATAAATAAACTATGAGTTTTACACCGTGGCCTCTGATCTCATATGTGTATTTCAAATTAGCCACCTTTTACAGACCATACAATGTTTAACTTCTGTTCTCAGTTTAAGTGTGCCTAGTTACATATTTTTTACATTATTTTTCAGTTTGTTTCATATTTTGATTACGTTTTCTGTCTACGAGAGACTCCACACCTTGCATGCTGTTACAGACCTTACAGATCTCTTACCTTCTTTATTGTTGTGAAGCTGAGGAGCAGAGTATGCTTTTACTATCCCTGAAAACACAAATTAACTGTACCTTACAACCTGAAACATTAAATTGGTTTGTTTGCTGGGTTTTTTTGTACTTTATTTCCATGAATTGAATAAAAAAAAAAACCTGAGGCTAAGTCTTGCTAGAGAACACAAATAAACTCAAATCAGGTTTATCGATTTTACTAGATAAGATGAGGATTTTACAATCCAGTATTGATACTGTGGGGAATTATCAGATATTGGGTTGTCTTATTACAGCCATCATTTCTACTTGGAGGTATTTTGTTAAGTTCTGCCATTCTAACCACTAACACTTCTTTCTGTAATGTTCTTGCCTACTTAATGCAAACCAATGTTCTTACATTAATTAACACCTCATGGCACTGCATCTCTAATTGGGTATGGACAAGCTCACTGCCAGGGTTCATTATCTAATGTAGAGTTGTATGTTTTTGAATCTTGAGTTTATGATGATTATTTTGTGCAAATATTTAATATAGCTACAATTGCTTAAAAATTGAATAAATATCTGTTAATGATTCAGTTAAAGGGACTCTGCAATGTAAAACATGCCGTTCTGCAGAAACAGAAATGTTCATATTGTAAGGTTTAAATGCCTCTAGAGAGTGTCAATGTGACAGCGAAACTCTATTTCATTTGGACAATCTCATAGAGACCACTCATGTGCACCAGCCTCTCAATGTTTTCCTATGAGAAAACACTGGATTGGCTCTGCTGATTTGTCTTGATGATGTCAGCCAAGGAGGTAGGATGGCACTGTGGAGACTGAATCTGCAAGGGAGAAAAAGTAAGTAAAATCACCTGTCTCCTTTATGGAGAAGGGCATTATAGTGTTAGGAAGATACACTGGTATTCCAAACACATTAGTGTTCCTTTAAGTACAAATATTTGAACAAAGCTTTTTGACTTCACTGGAAAAAATGTGCTACTATTATATGTACTACCACACCCACCAACAGGAGGGTAAAGTTATTTTTTGTGGTATTGAACCTAATCATGCAGTGGGGCAGCAAGGACCTTTCAATGCTATGTGGTGCAGTTGAGGAGGCAGAAATATCTTCATTTTTATTATGTAAAGATGGAACCCCCTCCACCCAGTATTGTTTAAATTGTTATAATATTGTTTTGAAATTTTTTTTATTTTTTTTTAATGAACAACTTGTTAATAAAAAAAAAGTGTAAAAAATATTCCATACAAATGTATCAGTATACTCTTCACTAGACCCCAGATAAGCCACTCTCTGGCAGATAGAAATTTAGGGAAATGGAGGGGGGCTAAAATAATTTGTGTAAGGTATAATTCAAAGGCTGCATATTTGGCAGTGTGTGTTTGACCTACCTAAACTATTTCCCCTGACACCTTTCTGACAGCTGGGCAGATAATTGTTTGGTTTTTTTGTACATGTGCAAAAAAATACAAAGAAAATGTAATACATGCAATCTTCCATTTTAAATAATAATACAAAATAATGGCAAATTTCCTATAAATGGCATCAATACCCTGAAATGCACAGGGCTTCAGAATACACAAAGAAACATAAAATCTCCATCTGAAGATAAAAATACAAATAAAAAGTAAAATTATAATCAAACAATATCTTTATTTAAAAAAACATACAAAAACATACAAATAAGTTAGCAAAAATAAAAAATAAAAATAGCAAACCCACACACATAATAGAAAAACGCCACCAAATCCTGTCTCAAAATAAAATTGGTCAAACAATGCTACAATAAGAAAAATAGAAAATTAAAAAAAAGCAACATTGGCCCCATGTGAATAAAAAAAACTTGCTTTTGTTTTTTTTTAAAAACCACACTAATTTAATAAAAAGTGGCTATGAAAATATATTAAACATTTCATACCAAGCAATGGAATTTTTCTGAAGTTTTTTTTTAGAAGGGTGTGAAAACCAATACATTTTATGCTGAACTTGTGTGCACTGAATATTAGCAAAATCTATATCATTCTGAAACAGGATCTGATCAATGTATACCCAGTCTCAGATCTGGTTTGGGTTAATCATATTTGTCTGTGCTTAATGCTTCGGACTTGTGCCATGAAATTTTTATTTTCTCCGCTGATCTTTAGCACGTATTAAACCAAACCAGCTACCGGATGACTTGCAATATCATGATATGGTCAAAACTCCCATATTTACTTTAAACCTTACTGCATAGTTTATTTTATAAAATATTTTTAAGTTAGGAATAAATAATAACCTGGGTTGCAATTTACATAGAAATTTACTCTTTTAAGTTAATTTAATTTAAGTTTAGTAATTGTCATAATTTTATATTAAGTTTAATAATTTAATTAAATAGTTATGCCTTAGTAGAGCAATGTTGCAATATGGTTTGTTAATCCTGGGTAAACAAAGAATAAAAAATCATGATGTTATAAAACATGTAGACTAATATTTTATAAGCCCTGTCATTCCTAAAATCCCATATTTGTGCCAATGGACATTATATAGTTCTATAAAATGAATATTGTTTTAAGGTTTGTTTTGGAGTCATTAGGCTTCTTACACAATAGCACTACCAAGTAAATCTAGGTCCATGATAAGAAGGTCCAAAACAATTCGTATTCGTAACAGGTGATTTAATTCTGGATATGTTGCTCAGGAAAGCTGATTGACACTTCTCCGGATGCGATGCTCTCTACAATTGAGGATAAGGAATTCATGTCACGTTGCTCCGAAGAATCATCACTTAAGAGGTGATCTGAAGGTTAAGAGAGAAATGTTATATAGATATATATGTATACTCGACTGTTGTTTGTATCACTTCTCTGCAACCCTTTATTATTTAACTAAAGGAAAGATACCATTAAAGAGGTCTTTCATACAGTCAACATTTTTTTATTATGGACATTTTGTTGGGCTACCAATCATTGCATATTGTATCTTCTTACCCTCACTTCTACTAAGGAGGATGGTTTGGGGGTTCAAACCATGGTGGTTTATTGGATAGAACTTTTTCGCCTTCTCCTTTTCATTACCTCACTAACTCTCTGTAAAGTATTGCAATGCTATGCCTTGAACATTATCTAATGGTAACGACTAGGAATTTAAATGGACTGTCAAGTGCATTACTTGATTTAGCCTGATGTCTAATTTAGAAAAAAAAAGTATATTCCAAGAATTGAAATATGACTGTCTGTTGAAGAGTAGACCACAAAGTCCTGATATTGCAAATGGCTTTGATGGTAAGGTATGTCTTTTTGCTGATGATACTAAGATATGTAACAGGGTTGATGTTCCAAATGGCAAATGATTTAGGTAAACTAGAAAAATGGTCAGAGTTGTGGCAACTGACATTTAATGTGGATAAGTGCAAGATAATGCATCTTGGCCGTAAAAACCCAAGGGCAGAGTACAGAATAATTGATAGAGTCCTAACCTCAACATCCGAGGAAAGGGATTTAGAAGTGATTATTTCAGATGACTTAAAGGTAGGAAGACAATGTAATAGAGCAGCAGGAAATTCTTGGTTCTATAGAGAGAGGTTTTTTGCAGTAGACAGAGGGAAGTGCTCATGCCATTGTACAGTACACTGGAGTATTGTATGCAGTACTGGAAACCGTATCTCCATAAGGATATTGATACTTTAGAGAGAGTTCAGAGAAGGGCTACTAAACTGGTTCATGGACTGCAGGATAAAACTTACCAGGAAAGGTTAAAGGATCTTAACATGTATAGCTTGGAGGAAAGAAGAGACAGGAGGGATATGATAGAAACATTTAAATACATAAAGGGAATCAACACAGTAAAGGAGGAGACTATATTTAAAAGAATAAAAACTACCACAACAAGAGGACATAGTCTTAAATTAGAGAGACAAAGGTTTAAAAATAATATCAGGAAGTATTACTTTACTGAGAGGGTAGTGGATGCATGGAATAGCCTTCCAGCTGAAGTGGTAGAGGTTAACACAGTAAAGGAGTTTAAGCATGCGTGGGATAGGCATAAGGCTATCCTAGATATAAGATAAGGCCAGGGACTAATGAAAGTATTTAGAAAATTGGGCAGACTAGATGGGCCGAATGGTTATAATCTGCCGTCGCATTTTATGTTTCTATGACAAAAACAGTGAACCAGTGTGTCAGGGCTTCTAAAGATTACTTCACAAGTTCTAACAAAATAAGGTTTAATTCTAAACAGTACTATGAAGCACACTGTAGAGAATATATCACTAGAATATTCTGTGAAGAGTTAAAAGTTAAATAGGCTACTGTTTAAATTGCTACCTGAAACCCATCGGGTGCTGTTCCCCACCTCCAATATTTACTACAGAGAGCCGGAAGCTAACATAAGATCCTGCTTAGGAAGAAGGCATAAGAAGTAGTCGAGGTATGGAGTAGTACCAATCCGATCCCAGGTAAGATGTCAAACTGTTCTCAAATTGATTCACTCCTCACAATGGATTGGAAGGGTGGGGGTGGGAGGGGGACCAGGTCACTCCTGGCATCATAACCTCTACAGCAAGCTATAGTGACTTTTTGGAATGTTCCTTCACATTTTAAATAAAGATTTTTGTGGGAGGGAGGCAGGGGGGGCCGGGGAGGCTAATAGAAAGATACATTACTAAAATGTAAGTTTGCAAGATATATTGTAAATTAGCTTTTTTGGGTTTTGAATGCAAAGCTGTACACCAATTGTTTATTTTATTGCCTGATTGGAAAGGGCTGTTTAATAAGTGCTGGACAAACTGGTAAATACTAGACGCTTGTAGTTCGTTATCAAAGTATGATGTGTATGAATAACTGTAAATTCTATATATACATTTAGCCTTTTAAATGTCACTGTCATTTTGCTTCTGGTCATTTTGCAAGGCGTTTTATATAAATATCATGAAACCATACCACTATGACACACAAGTGACCCTTTTGTGTTCTGGTTGGTACCAAGTATCACAGCAAATTATGGGACAGATGACCTTCGCAAACTATGTAATGCGCGCATGTGATTTTTTTGAACATGGCACATTTGTAATGCAGAATCTGAAGGCCTGAAGGTGTTTTTGTTCTGCTTGATTCGATTTACATAAGGAACACATTTTGACCCTTGTTTGAAAAATGTTTTGTTTACACTTTATTTAGATGCAAATATATTCAGGTCAGCTCTGTAAAATCGCATAGCCCGCAATAGTCTAAAATGTAAAATATGGCAGAAGGTATTGCTGTAACTCTATTCACAGAGGGTCAATATTTCACAAGGGAAATATATATTTTTTGTGTAAAGAATATATTGTTTTGGCATGTGTTGCAAACATAAGACCTACAAGGGGATTCATGCTGCATTTGTTGTTAATAACAAAGCAACAAAGGGCACAAACCTCTTATATTATGCCATAGTTTCAAAATAGGATTTTAGCACCCGAGTCCATATTCATTTGGCTATGTCATGTATATGATGGGATATGAACTAAAGAAAAGTTTTGTTTTGACTGCCATTAACTTAAATTTCTTCTTTTTTTTTTTTTTTGTTTATACACCTGTTACCCGACTCCAGAGAATTAATTTCCATATCAACTATAACTCTTTTGCATTACAGAATTACTGCAATTTGTAATGAATTCTTAATATTTTACTTACCACTTTGGCTGCTACTAAAGTCAGACTCATTCCATTCTGGACTGCAAGATGAAGCAGTTGATCCACATTCACTCGATACCTATAATAACAAGCAGCAAAATCAACCAACAAATTACAATATTCTTGCATTACTTTATACATTCTATTTTTGGATTGTATTAAACATCTGTTGAGCCCTGTGTTACTCTTTTTAGCACATGCTAATCTGAAAGATAAATTGCTATCACTACTGCATGAGTTGCATAAAGTACCATGATACAAAAATAAGGTTTCTGTCACTGAATTTGAAAAATATGTATCTTTTCTAATATCTCCTGTAAAATAAAGGTATTTCTATAATATTATTATAATTATTAGGGTAATGTGATGTGAAGAAATTGTTGGTTTTCTATAGGGGGCTTTGGATTGATTAGAGGTCTGGGGGAGTGACAAATTGGATTCATTGGAGATAAATGTAATGTTACGCACTTTGTGTGTAACATGTACCTTGTGATTGGGTCAGGGTTATCATTAGTAAAAACTTGATAATAATGTGCTATGTCAGTAAGTGGCAATAAGGGACAGTAAAATACTATCATTTATAATTTATATGATGAAAATTAATTTGTGGTTGTTTTATATAAAGTCATAGGAACATATCACCTTTTATAATCAATGCCCCATCTAGAATAAGCTTGGAGCATATTTCAAGAAGGACATTATGGAATTTGAGATGCCTGATTTAACTGGAAATCTGGCAGCCCTGAGCCTGTGAATGTTGTGTGTCATGTGGGTGTCTTGTGAGGTCTATTTGAACTGCAGATACTATGCGTCATGCATTTGTCATATGGGTACAAATTATTGCAGGTGTCTACAGATTGTTGGTTGTATTTTTATTTATATTTTTTGCTAAAATAAATGAATACAATTATTATTGAGGTTGGTGGGACTTCCTACAATCATGTACCTACGTGCATTTGCAATATAAATCTTGTGATACTAGAAGATATATTTGTATGATACTGCATTCAGATGTTCCTAATTTCCCAACACATGAAAGGGATAAAAACGCAGCAAAATGTGAAAATGAATGTGCCAGGTCGACAGTCTCTGTACAGCATGTAAATAGACTATAGACAAGGTACAAGAACAATCCTGATTTTGACAGTATCTATTTTACAATAAACTGTGACCTGCTATATTGAGGACTTTTGCAGATGAGTCCATGGCGGAAAGTACACAAACAGAAAAAGAAAGTCCACAAACAACAAACAAATCTCAGTATCAGAAATATTCGAGCCCTTTGCGCAGTTTCAATAGTCAAATTCAATAAATTAACCTAACAATGCAACGGTAATAAATATGCAAAACACATCTGCCTTGCATTTCAATAGTTTTGGAAATGAGATTCTGGAAGATGAGTTTTCTATGTTTAACCTGATTAGCTTACAGTGATCTGAGCTTTTAAAGTGAACCTGTTATGGAAATTTACACTTACTAGAAATCACTTCCGTATACATTGAATACACCATATATCACAAAAAAAAACATGGTGTATTCAATGTAATTTCTAAGGATTTACTCATTTTTTATCCATTCCCGCGACACCATCTTCAAGCTTCGTGGGTTTTACTCTACGTGTAACACCCACCTCCGGACTGCCCTCCGTTCCGCCTGCACTCCCCCATGTCTTTTTTGATTTGCCCTGCTTGGGACGCTTCTCCAAACAGGGCAAACATTGTCAGTGATGTTGGCATGCTGACTTTGTTGCCAGTGTGCCAGAATCAGAAGCATCAGCTTGGGAGTTTCCATAATAACCACAGTGCATACTATGGGTGGAGAGCAGATGGACCTCCTGTGAGAGCTCTTTTCTGCTCTCCCTGGTCAGTCCATGATGAAGCATTGACTGACAGATGTGAGAAAAACCTATTTTTAAATAGGTTTTTCTCCTAATCTATACATTTTATAGAAAAACTGATAGCACATTGTATAGATTGATTCTTATGCTCAATCTAATGAGCATAAGTTGTTTGGGGCATGACAGGTGCTCTTTAAGCTGCGCTTAACAGGAAATAAATTAAAGGAGAAAAAAAACAGATGATTAAGACCAGTCAAAACTTTGAGAAGAGAAATTAGAGGGAGAAATATGAGAGCATTGACTTTATAAAGGAACAATCCCACCCCATCCCAACATCAAGTCAGTGAGTTGTTATGGGGAAAAGAGTGTCTGGACGTGGTTTTATCTTAAGGGATTAAACCATTTTCCAACAGTTAAACCCCAAATTTGGTCCCCTGGGGCAGTGGGGCTCAATACCTCTGGCCCCCTCTCCTCCTTTTTTCTGGCTCACACAGTATAAGGAAGGTTTGACAGTTGGGTGATGATAGTCGTAGGCCAGGATCTGATATTCTTACCTCTCAATGGCCACCTAGAAAATCTTTCTGATACTGCAGCAGCAGGGAGGAAGGAAGAGAGGGGGCAGAGGTGTCAGGTTCTGGGGGACTAACTTCAGTGTTAAACCATTGGATGTAAGACAACTGCTAGATACTCCCAGATACTGAGGCCCCCTTAAAGGGGCACTCTAGACCACCAAAACACTTCAGCTTGCTTACGTACGTTATATGTGAAGAGTTTGTCCTCATTTTTTCAATTTACGAAAAGGGTATATTTCAACAGAAATTGGCCCTTTTGTAAATGTTAATTGTCCTTTTATAAATGTACCTTGTTACACCTCTTCATTAAGCTGCATTGGGAAGTCTGTGATTGGACAGCCAACAGTATGGGTGGGGCTAGAAGTGGAGGATTTGCTAAAGATGCAGACGAGAGATCTGTAGGCTGGTTTTGTATATACCCCAATTTAAAAAATGCACAATTAAATGCAAGCATGTTTTCATTGAGAATATATCTACAAAATAGTGACTTTTGTTCCTTTTTTTTATTAAGACAGTGGAGTGTCCCTGTAACTACTTAATTTAACTAAAGTTGTTAAGCAGTTGGAGTGTAATAAGATATACATATGTGCCAGCTGTCCTGAATTCTATAGAAAAGTCACAAATTTGAGTCCATTTCTTGCCATCTGGGTTTTTTCTGGTGTCCTGCCAGAAAGAACACAAGAGAGCAGCATTAAACATGGTAGGTGATTTTGGATTATGGACAGCCCTGATTGGCCACCTTGCCAAGTTGTCTGTAAACCTGGCATGCATGCTCGCAAAGATGACATGCCACAGTTTATGGAAACATACACAACCAGTATTGCAGTTTGCATAATTGTCCTATCTAGTGCATTGCTCCCAATCAGGATCTGCGTTTTGAGTTATAGGGAATATAACTACATCTCTGTTGATGCTTTGCCAACATCATGGTTGTAAGAGCATTATGGATCACAATATCATGAGTGCCAAATGTTGCCTACCCCTTGCTTAGAGTTACTCGTTAAGTATTTACAGCAATCTATATAGGGATCATTCCAGTCTGCAATTTGGTCCTCAATCATAGCAACACATGGGAAGCAGAGACGTACTAAATAATCTGAATATTCTAACCTAGTCCTGACTGGAGTTTACATCTTCAGTCAATGCCCAGTTAATGTTTTAGTGTTAACTGAATGCCAATTTCAACCTTGCCAGGGGAAGTATGGTAATAGGTTTCAAGGTGTCCTATAAATGTATATTAGCAAATTAATATGTAATAGCCCACATGATGCTCAAAGAACATTAAGTACTTAACACAATATGCTGGGTGACTGGTATTGCTGCCTGGCATTTTAAATTGCTTTCTAGTGGAATGTGTATCTGTCTCCCTGAATACAAGATAGATTTGGCTGTAAAAGTTATGTATGAAGAATATTTCAATTCAAATCACAGACACAGTTAGGAATAGAGACACAAGTTCACAGAGACAGAGTTTACATTTATAAACATTATTAAACGCACAGCTTGACATTATATTTATTTTGATCCATGAAGCCAAGCTATCACAGATTTACATACTAATGAAATTCACCGAAGCATGTAAATGGTATACATCATTACTGTTATTAATATTATAGTGAAAACTCAATTTTTATTTTTTTGGTCGAAGAATTTAAGTTCATGAACCATTATTTATAGCTTGGGCTTAAAGCATAGCTCCCAAGAGTCTTAGATATGACGAGAGAGTCCTGAATTGGGACACGTGTTGCAGGCTCTGGCTTTTGTTTTTCTATGTTTCTAGGAAACATTAGCAAGAATGACCAGAGAACATACCAATAGTGCGTCATTAAACGTGCTTGCAGCAACATGAGCTTGGCATTTCAGCATTAAACAAGCTTTTTGGACCATGGGTAGGTCTAGTTTACACAGAAGGTTTCATGTCGGCTCAGTGTTTATCTGTGCTGGGCTAAAATACATTTGTGGCGATAACGTATTCTGCATTCAGTTGTGGTTCATTCAGGACCACTAGTGCCCTCAATTCCTTACTGCTCCATCTCTGATCCTGCTTTTATACCTCACAATGTTAAAGAGGACCTTTCACACACAAGTGTGTGGATGGCAAACTTACCTTCAGGTAAGTACATTTAATCCATACATTATACTGGCAATATTGCCAGAAAATAGTTTAAAAGTCATAATTAGAATTAGATAACTTCCCCCACATCATAGACAACCATGGATGCCATATTTGTAATTTTTTTTACCACTATGCCGATAGCATAAAGGTAAAGGTTGAGAAAATAAAAATGAATAAAATGAAAATGGTGTATTTGCATGCAATCTTGCTATTACAATATAAACTAACTATTTTCTCTATAAAGTTATATTTCCATGAAGAGCGCACTTTAGATCCTGCTCTCTAAATCCATTTTTACTGAAATTCGGACAATATGAATAAATTGATAACAACATGTACTATATAAAATTGGATAAAGTTCCATGAATAATACAATAATGGGCATTATTGTATATAGTTCTATGCCTTTCAATAGTTAAGACTGGTGTATATGCAGTTCTGGATTTTCTAAAATTGATGCCTTTGGGACATTTTTATCCTTGACCAGAAACTTTGCAATATGAAAAAAAATTATACTAGCTAGCCTTCCAAAATATATACACACTGCCTTTTTATTTGAAACAATGACACTCAACACTGAAAAATTCCATGTATTCTATGAAGAGACAGCACAGTGGCTAGTGCTCCAGATGCTGTATCTCTAAGTAAAAGCAGTAAGTTCATTTCCTAGCCTTTCAACCTTCCAAGGTCGATTAAAAAAAAACCCAGTATATTTTATTTAGAAAAATAATAACTTCAATAATGCACTTGAAGTCCGTTAAAAGCTTGCATTTATGTTGAGTGGATTTGTGCGCACATTTCTCCTGTCGTTATGTCTTATATATCTTACACATTCCCCACTCAATGAGCAAATGCCTTTGACATGCTGAGAAAAATAGAGATCATTACCGAGAAGGACCCAATGACCTAAAGGCATTGACTTGTTTTGTGAGTTTAAACTTTACTCCCAAGTGGAACCTAGAGTACTGCATTGACAGGTACCTGTTTAACACTCTAACAAATCTATCTGACAAGCAAACAAAAGGATTTTACATGGGTGTTATTATTATTTTTTTTTAAAACATCGCCATAACCTTGTGTTATATTTTTTATTGTATTTAGTAACAATAATTGACAATATATAATGCTATCAATACTCCATCAGGGCAAAATTTTACTTTTATGCGTGCATTATCAAAAGTAATACTTTTACCTAATGAAAATTAAACACAAGTACACAGAACAGTGTGAACAGAAAATATCTATGGATAATAACAGGGAGCCACAGTCACTATACAATTACCAATTTGAGAAGTTCATTCTCATAGACAACATAGAGAAAAATAGAGAAAAACTATTAAAAGATATCAGTGTACAATTTATTGAAATGTTAAAAATCAATGATAGCCTATATAGCCTGAGTCCCCACTGGTAAGCAGCCCGCACTCTTTACTTTCAGAGCACACAAAAGTGCAGGTCTTTTCAGGGTAAAGTGCAGATGTAAGATGCAATTTAAAGTGCAAAGTGGCTGCTAATATACCAAATGATCTGGGTCCTCTTTTTGATGCTCAATGCATTTCGTCGAACCGACTTCCTCAGGAGTTCTATATAGCCTACATAGGCTATCATTGCAAGTGTTGACATTGAGCCATTGCCTAATATTGCTTTATGTGTTTATTTGATTTTTAACATTTCAATAAATTGTACATTGCTATCTTTTAATATTTTTTCTCTTTTTTTCTCTATGTTGTCTATGAGAATGAACTCCTCAAACTGGCAATTATATAGTGACTGTGGCGCCCTGTTATTGTCTAAAGATATTTTCTATTCACACTGCTCTGTTGTATATAAGGGGTTTGGAGTGACCCCAGGACAGAGGCTAGCCTGCACTTATTTAACACTGTGTGCTCCACACATCCACTTTTATTATTATAATTGCCATTTGTATAGCGCCAACAGATTCCGTAGCTCTTTACAATAATATGAGAGGGAGGATTTAACTATAAACAGGACAATTACAAGAAAACTTACAGGAGCCTATAGGTTGAAGAGAACCCTGCTCAAACGAGCTTACAGTCTACAGAAAGTGAGGTGTAAAACACTTTTGCACCACGTATACTTTAACCTTATACTTTTTATTCTTACTACATGCCAAGGATTAGTGATCTGAGAAAGCTTTTGCACTTATTTTAATATAATATTTCATTTTTTTTTGTTTGTTTTAGAAATATTTTTTACTATGTGTATATTTCTAGTTAAATGGTATGTTTAATTTAGAAATCATACAAGTATTTTAAATATATTTGTAATATTTTTATACATTAAGCATATTACCCAAGAGTCTTATTTGTATGCAGAAAAGTAGTCATTCTGAGTAAAAGAAAACACGTATTTTATTTATTTAAATATGGTTTTTTTTCTACCAAAACTATTGACTGTATGTACTATATATGATTGCATTTGGCTGAGATACTAGGATACACACTATCCCAGTCAAGGTCAAAAGGACAAGAGACGTTATGATTCAAAAAGGAGTCACGTACTAAGAAGCTGCACTGCCTATTAGAATAGGCAGGGAGGTATTAGCCATAAATCTATGAGAACAAGGACACATCCGTAAACAATCTGAAAATACAAGATGAGAATACATAAATCACCAGCTGATGTCATATAGACATTTAAAATTCTATTGCCGTTTGCAGTGGCATGTGATTATTTAGTGTGAACGTGCAAGCGTAACCTGTATTCATTGAGATAGAATACAGTATCAGCACATTGCCGGAAGGGGAAATATTAAGTTATGTAATAGGCAATGCTTTGGTCTGAATATAAATTACCCCTTGGTATGTCTGATTGCGTTTATCTTAACAAACTGCACAGAATATGACGTGATATATATATATATATTGGGGAATTTAAAAATGGAATTGCTAAATTTAGGCTAAAATGTCAAGCTACGACTGAGCTGTAATTTAGCATGCACGCACTTTTATGTAGGGATGTAAATGTATACACGTGTAATTGATAAGGAGTGCTTTAACATATTCAATTCTCATAATTTTTTTTAAAGAATCCTTTGAGAGTTTAAACATTGGGTATTTAAGTCAAGATATATATGGTCTTTTTAAAAAAAATTATAAATAGAAATGTAGGTATGTGTTTCCCTGGCAGTACAACTACACAAGAATTCTAGCAATCTTGTATTGCTGACTGTGCTACGTGTTAGAATACAGTTGGTTACCTACCACCCTCTGTGATCCACTACTAATGTACAGTAAATCCCTCTGGTCCCTCTCCTGCTGATTAAGAGATGCCAGAAGAGCTTGCAGTCGTTCAATATACTGGATAGCGCTCCTCAAAATTTCAACCTTGGGCAGCCTCTGGTTGGGGTTTAACAAAGTGCTTCTTTTTAGGGCTTCAAAGGCTTCATTTACTTTCTTTAATCTGCGTTTTTCTCGAAGTGTAGCCGCCCTTCTTCTGTCCATAGAAACCGTCTTCCGTTTGCACATCTTGCAGGCCCATGGCAAGCACTGTCCAGGGCAATGGTCAGATTGACTTAGACTGGAATGGGGTGAAACCTTCTCTTCAATGCCTGATCCCTGCAATATAACTCCATCAGTGCAAATCCCCATCGCTCCACGATCTTGAAACCCACTTTGTTCATAAGTGGGGAGCCTGGCATTGAAATAATTTTCATTGTCGTAAAATCTTTGGTCGGGGAAGAAATAAGGACTTGTTTCAAAAAGCTCCATGGTTATGAAATGTTTAGAAGTGCTTCTCCTTCGACAACTACACAGCAACTGCACTTCTCCCTTTTGCACCAACTGTTTGATGCCATTTAAACCCTCTGCCCAGCATTAAATCACGCAGATAAATATAGAAAACATTCACGAAATTTGATCCACTTTTTAGCTGTTGCCTGACATCAAAACTTTTACATTCTGAACAGACACAAATCTCCCTAGAGGATTTAACTTTACAAAGAAAAAAAATACACTATTTTCCCTTTAAATGTCTTATTAGCTATTAGGAATTATTATATATATAATAGATAGATAGACAGAGAGACAGATAATTATATACATGTAATATATACATGTACATACATATATATACATGATAACATATGTATAAATGCTTTATTTATTAATTTTGCCTATTTAACATTCACATTTTATTATCGAATAACCTTTAAAAATATCAGTAAAACTACTGAAAGCAGTAAACCAGAGGAAGTGGATATGCAGATTTAATTCACTTACAGATATTATGACAATTAGATTAAGAGAGTTATGTTCTAGCAATCTTCTCTCATTGATCTTTTTAAAAAGAACTCTATCCTTGAATATATACTCGTGTATAGTAATGTATTTTTTCTATTGTAGAGAATACACGGCACACATAGCTGGGTCAAAGAAATGATCTGAATGTTAAATATCTTACATTATTCCATTGGGTATAAAGCTTAAAGATTTAATTAAATGTAATGTAACAGTGTGAATTAGTGTGAATATACTATACATATAAAAATCTATATCTATGTTATTGGCATTTATATAAGTTCTATCTCTTTTTATATATATATATATATATGTATATATATATATACACTGAACAAAATTCTAAACGCAACACTTCTGTTTTTGCCCCATTTTTCATGAGTTTAACTCAAAGATCTAAGACTTTTTCTATGTACACAAAAGGCCTATTTCTCTCAAATATTGTTGTTTTATTGTGGCCAGCCTAAAGCACACCTGTGCAATAATCATGCTGTCTAATCAGCATCTTGATATGCCACACCTGTGAGGTGGCTGGATTGTCCCGGCAAAATAGAAGTGCTCACTAACACAGATTTAGACAAATTTGTGAACAATATTTGAGGGAAATAGTTTTTTTGTGTACATAGAAAAAGTCTGCAAAAACAAAAGTGTTGCATTTATAATTTTGTTCAGTGTATATATAGATAGATAATTATTTATATCTGTATTATATTATATATATGTATCTATATTATATATGATATATAAGAGAAAGTTTATTTATACATACCGTAATTTTCTTTTCCTGGTCATAGGCCATGGCAGCACAACAATGAGTTAACTCCTCCCATTCCCTAACAGATAGGAACCAATTAAAACAAACCCTCAGCCCTAGTACCAAGCTATAAACTTTTCGGATGGATCCCTGTTCTGCCACGGCCTATGACCAGGAAAAGAAAATGATTGTAAGTATGAATACATTTTCTCTTTTCTTGGCCATATTCATGGCAGTACAATATTGGGACTACCCAAGCTAAGACTAAGGAAGGAAAAGAAAAGATGATGCACAAAGAATGATCAAATTTAGGCATGTGCATGGGGAAAATTTTCGGTTCGGCATTCCAAAATTCGGGACTTCCGCAATTTGGCACTTCAGCACTTTGGAACTTCGACACCTCGGAAATTCGGCAACTTCGGCACTTCGACACTTTGGAATTTCGGAACTTCGGCATTTCGGGACTTCGGCACTTCGGGACTTCAGGGGTGGGGGCCAGGGAGAAGGACATTAGGTCCCCCCCCTTATTAGTATTTAGGGCCCCCACCCACCGCTCAGGGGTGGGGGCCGGGGGGAGGACATTAGGTCTCCACCCTTATTTTACTGTAGGGCCCCCACCCATTGCTCAGGGGTGGGGTCCAGGGGGGAGGACATTAGGTCCCCCCTTATTCCAATTTAGGACCCCCACCTGTCGCTCAGGGGTGGGGGCCAGGGGGAGGACATTAGGTCCTCCTCCCTTATTAGTATTAAGGGCCCCCACCCACTGCTCAGGGGTGGGGGCCAGGGGGGAGGACATTAGGTTCCCCCTTATAAGTATTTAGGGCCCCCACCCACCGCTCAAAGGTGGGGGCCAGGGGGGAGGACATTTGGTCCCCCCCTTATTTTACTGTAGGGCCCACACCAACCGCTCAGGGGTGGGGGCCAGGGGGAAGGACATTAGGTCCCCCCCTTATTCCAATTTAGGGCCCCCATCCGCCACTCAGGGGTGTGGGCCGGGGGAGGACATTAGGTAGCCCCCTTATTAGTATTTAGGGCCCCCACCCACCGCTCAGGGGTGGGGGCCAGGGGGAAGGACATTAGGTCCCCCCACTTATTCCAATTTAGGGCCCCCATCCGCCACTCAGGGGTGTGGGCCGGGGGAGGACATTAGGTAGCCCCCTTATTAGTATTTAGGGCCCCCACCCACCGCTCAGGGGTGGGGGCCAGGGGGAAGGACATTAGGTCCCCCCACTTATTCCAATTTAGGGCCCCCATCCGCCGCTCAGGGGTGGGGGCCAGGGGGGAGGACATTAGGTCCCCCCCTTATTAGTATTTAGGGCCCCAACCCACCGCTCAGGGATGGGGCAAGGGGGGAGGACATTAGGTCCCCCCACTTATTCCAATTTAGGGCCACCATCCACCGCTCAGAGGTGGGGGCCAGGGGGGAGGACATTAGGTCCCCCCCTTATTAGTATTTAGGGCCCCCACCCACCACTCAGGGGTGGGGGCCAGGGGGAAGGACATTAGGTCCCCCCTTATTAGTATTTAGGGCCCCCACCCACCGCTCAGGGGTGGGGGCCAGGGGGGAGGACATTAGGTCCCCACCCTTATTTTACTGTAGGGTCCCCACCCACCGCTCAGGTGTGGGGTCCAGGGGGGAGGACATTAGGTCCCCCCCTTATTCCAATTTAGGACCCCCAACCGCCGCTTAGGGGTGGGGGCCAGGGGGAGGACATTAGATCCTACTCCCTTATTAGTATTAAGGGCCCCCACCCACTGCTCAGGGGTGGGGGCAAGGGGGTGGACATTAGGTTCCCCCTTATAAGTATTTAGGGCCCCCACCCACTGCTCAGGAGTGGGGGGCAGGGGAGAGGACATTAGGTCCCCCCCTTATTTTACTGTAGGGCCACCACCAACCGCTCAGGGGTGGGGGCCAGTGGGGAGGACATTAGGTCCCCCTCTTATTCCAATTTAGGGCCCCCACCCACCGCTCAAGGGTGGGGACCAGGGGGGAGAACATTGGGTACCCCCTTATTAGTATTTAGGGCCCCCACCCATCACTCAGGTGTGGAGGCCAGGGGGAGGACATTAGGTCTCCCCCTTATTAGTATTAAGGACCCCCACCCACCAATCAGGGGTGGGGGCGAGGCTGGAGGACATTAGGTCCCCCCCTTATTAGTATTTAGAGCCCCCAGCCACCGCTCAGGGGTGGGGGCCAGTGGGGAGGACATTAGGTCCCCCCCTAATTTTACTGTAGGGCCCCCACCCACCGCCCAGGGGTGGAGGCCAGGGGGGAGGACATTAGGTAGCCCCCTGTTAGTATTTAGGGCCCCCACTCACCGCTCAGGGGTGGGAGCCAAGGAGGAGGACATTAGGTAGCCTCCCTTATTTTACTGTAGGGCCCCCATCCGCCGTTCAGGGGTGGGGGCCGGTGGGGAGGACATTAGGTCCCCCTCTTATTAGTATTTAGGGCCCCCACCCACTGTTCAGGGGTGGGGTCAGGGGGAGGACATTAGGTCCCCCCCTTATTAGTATTTAGAGCCCCCAGCCACCGCTCAGGGGTGGGGGCCAGGGGGGAGGACATGAGGTCCCCCCTGTTAGTATTTAGGGCCCCCACCCACCGCTCAGGGCTGGGGGCCAGGGGGGAGGACATTAGGTCCCCCCCCTTATTAGTATTTAGGGCCCCCACCCACCGCTCAGGACTAGGGACCGGGGGGGGAGGACAATAGGTCCCCCCCGTCATTTTACTTTAGGGCCCCTACCTGCCGCTCAGGGGTGGGGGCCGGGAGGGGCAATAGGTGGGTAAGGGCTCGGGAGGGGGGACCATTGGCTGCTCACTGTTTAATAGACATGCCCCTAGTCGCAGTATATAGGGGCATAATTTACTAATACTAAGTAATCTTTACTTAGTATTAGTAAATTTGGCTGAAAGACCTAATTTAGGTCTTTCAGCCTTTTAGTAGATAGCTCCCTAATACCGTGGGAATTAGGGAGTTATCTACTTATTCATTCCTGTCATTACACTGACTGGCTAAGTAACTTACATTTTATATGAATGTATGTTACTTGATTGTTGTAAGTGTTGCAAATGCTTACAGCTGAATCCTTTCTATGTTTGTATACTTTTTATTTAAAATGTTATACAGTGTAACATTCTTAATTTTTCCACTGGGTATGTATATTAGTTCTTAGGCAATACTGTGCTTCGGCACCTCGACACATCGGAACTTCAGCAACTTTGGAACTTCGGCACTTCAGCACTTCGGCAATTCGACACTTCGGAAATTCGGTAATTTCGGGACTTCAACCATTCGGCAATTCGGCAATTCATCTATTCGGACATTCGGAAGTACCCGAATTTACGAATTGCCCGAAATGCGTCCGAATTCACATTCAGACCGAAATGAATTGCACATGTCTAATCAAATTGAGAATTCTTTGCTTAACTATAGCTCAGAGAAAACATTTTGGGAAAAAAAGTGTTGCAATAGCCAAGCCAAAATCCGGACCTCAAACCAATTGAAATTCTGTGGGAGGGTGGGGCCTTGAGAGAACTGTGCATAAACAAAAGCCAGGAAGCCTCAATGAACTTAACCCCTTAAGGTCACAGCTTCAGAAGCTTGTCTTACGCTTAATGACACAAGCAATTTTTGCATTTTCTTGCTGTTTGCGTTCAACTGCAATTTGCATCTCTCTCGTGTATTGCACCGACACATATTATATACTAATTTTTAAAGGACAGAAAGGGCTTTAATTTGATGTTTGCTAGATACACAAGAATTATCTATTTTGGAACATGGCCTTTCTTTTGTACCCACGGCTGCCCCTAATA